CTTCTACGTCTGTTATGTCTTCTAAGAGAGTATTAGATATGTAAAGATTAAAGGAATTATTTTTGAAATATTTTTGAAAAATGCCTAATATAAACGGCTCAAGAGATTTATTTAAAAAGTGCAAGCAGTATGTAGTTTTGGGTATAAAATGTTCTTTAATAATTTTACAGAGATCTTCTTCGGATGGATCGTTTTTTAAAAATATGATAATTCTTTGTTTGTCAAAAATAGATTCTTTTTGGACTTTGATTTTATTATTGTTAGAATATCTGAATATAATTTGATTTTTATAGATATTTAGTGCTTTTTGAACGTATGGAGCACCAATAACAGGGTTTTCAGAGCTTGAGTGTTTAGTTTCTAGGTCGGTAGAGGGTTGGGCTGGTCGTAGTATTATGTCAGAAATTATGTTGATTTTATCATTCTTTGGTTTTTCGGAAATAGTGTTAAGAATTTCGTCCAGTTCTTCTGGCGGTAATTGGGGAATTTCCTCAGGGTCGAAATTAGGAAAAATTGACATTTGATCGTCTTCGATTGGATTAATCTGTATGCGGGATAGGCAATCGGCATTGGAATTTTGTTTCCCTTTTTTGTATATGATTTCGTAGTCATATTCTTGGAGTTTCAATCGCCAACGAATAAGTTTGGAATTCGGCTCCTTAACGGAAAACAACCATTGCAAGGGTTTGTGATCCGTAACGATTTTGAATCGGGTCCCATATAGATAGGGGCGAAAATATTTGGTGGCCCATACTATAGCTAAAAGTTCGCGTTCAATGGTGCTATAGTTTGTTTCTGCTGGATTGAGGGTGCGAGAAGCATACGCAATAGGCAAATCATTGCCAATAGGGCCTTGAGACAAAATTCCACTGATAGCGACGTTTGAAGCGTCCGTGGTCAGATTGAAGGGTTTTGTGAAATCTGGATGTATAAGTACAGGGTCATTCATTAGCAAGGTTTTGCAGCTTTCGAAACTTTGAAGAAATTGGGTGGTGTGTTCTACTTTTTTGTTCTTTTTCAGGCAGTTTGTTAATGGTTTTGTCAAGTGTGCGAAATTTTTTATAAATTTTCTGTAATAGCCGATTAGACCTAAAAAAGATTTAATGTCTCGAGATGTTTTTGGTACTGGAAATTTTCGAATGGCGGCTATTTTTTTTGGGTTGGGTTTTACGCCTTCCGGTGTAATGATGTGCCCTAAGAATTCTACAGTTTTACAAAGAAACTCACATTTGTCAAGTTGGATTTTTAGGTGGCTCTCTTTGAGTTTTTGAAAGACGGATTTTAAATTAGAAATATGTTCCTGCAAAGACGTGGAAAAGACGATTATATCGTCCATGTATACCAGACAGATTTTACCTTGAAGATCTTTAAGGACGTTATCCATGAGCCTTTGGAAGGTGGCAGGGGCGTTTTTGAGACCAAAGGGCATTCGGGAGGAACTCATAGTGTCCGTTTTCGACACTGAAGGCGGTTTTCTCAATTGAATCAGGGTGCATGGCTATTTGATGAAACCCAGAGGCTAAATCCAGAGTGGTAAAATATTGGCTGCGGCCAAGTTTGTCGAGAATATCGGAAATGTTTGGGATGACGTAACGATCTGCTATTGTTTTTTCGTTAATTTTACGATAGTCTAAAACTATCCTCCATTTTTGTTTCATAGAAGCATCGGACTTTTTGGAAACGACCCAGATGGGACTGGACCAAGGGCTTGAAGAGGAACGAATAATACCATTTTCCAACATCTCAGAAATTTGTTTTTGTACCTCTTTTTTATGTATAAAAGGGTACCTGTACGATTTAGTGTACACTGGATTATTGTCTGTGGTTTTAATTTCGTGCGTAACGATATTTGTACAAGATAGTTTCTCGTTTGGTCTATGTAAAACTTGTGGAAATTGATTGATGACTTTTTTAAGGGCTGCTTTTTCTTCGTTATTTAGATGATCTGTACGGAGAAGCGAAAAATCTTGGTTGTGATCGGAATTGTCATGTGTTTGAAAGTTGGATGTTATTTGCTCGATATTAAATATCTCGAAATTTTGGGAATCAAAAAATTGGGCTACTTCCCTAATTGAATCCGGATAAAAATCTAGAACGATGTATTTATTAGTTTGATTTCGAAATTCTAAAGGGATCGTACCATATTGAACTTTTAAAAGTGAACCTGGAATTTCGATTTTTTGAGCAGTACGTAAATGGGGAATATATATTTCGGTTTCGTCAGGTATGTCAGTGTTTATGTTTTTCATTATTATAGATAAGGGTGGTATTTCTATTTTTTGCAAATCAAAATTGTCTCTATAATAGATAGGTATTTCAATCGTATCGTTTTTTAAAAGCTTATTTGTTATATCGATATTAAGACCTAATTTACGTAAATCTCTGATTCCTATTATTCCATCAAAATAGTCATGAAAGCTGTATAAAATTAGTTCGAGTTCGTTATTTATATTGAATTCTTTTAATAAGGAAATTTTTGTTTTATTTTGGGTATTGGTATTGCCGGTACAAGTTACTAGGGTGTGTTTACAAGGGTAAATTAATTGTGGAAAATATTCTTCCGCTATAGATGGTCTGATTAAGGATGTGTGGCTACCCGTGTCGATAAGAAGTTTAGCTGGGGGATTTTGAAGTTGAATGTAGGGAAGAGAGTTGACTTGAAAGCTGTTTAAATTTAGGACGGATTTTCGTTTAGAGGGCTGTTGAGAAAATTTTCTTCCTGTGAATCTTGCGGAATTTCGTGATTTTGGAAATATTCTATATCTTGATATTCGGGAGGTTCGATATAGTTTTGATATTCTTGTTCTTCAGGCAAATATTCAAAGTCTTGTTGATATTGGTCTGGCATATCTGCTAGATAGCTTAAATCAGTGAATGGGTGTCGGTTTTGGGCGAATGAATTTCGATTTCGGGGAAACTGTCTTTGGGTTTGGATTGAGCGCATGTGAACGTCTGAATTTCTACTTACTGTCGACGGCATTCTACTGGTTGTAGACATTGGTGTTGGGGGGCTAGTCAATTTATTAGAGTTTTCTCTAGAGAAAACATTTTTGGCTTGCCAAAATTGTTCGTTAGTCGGAAAATTTTGTCGTACCATTTGTGGTTGTGGAATTTTTATTGGTTGGCTTGGAAATGGTTGTTTAGGTATAGCACCTGTGCTGCTTGAAAATTGAGCGTTATTTTGTGTCATTGGAAAAGGACTTACAAAAGGTTGTTGGGGTTGAACGTTGTTTTGTGTCATTGGAAAGGGACTCACAAAAGATTGTTGGGGTTGAACGTTGTTTTGTGTCATTAGAAAGGGGTTAACAAAAGATTGTTGGCTGGGTGGAGGCATAAAGTTGAAATTTTGGCGATTATTTACTTGAGAAGGTGCTCTATTTTGAGTCATATTATAGAGGTCTTGTCGAGGAAAAAATGTACGTGCGTTTATCTGTTGTTCGATAAGGGAGTGGTTTAGGACAATTGAACTTGCGTCATCAATATTTTTGGATTATTTAGCATTAAAATTGTTCGAAGCTCGCTAGAGAGTTTGACATTAAGACAGTAACGGCTGTTAATTCTGTTTGCTCTAATAGAGCTTCTTTTGTGCCTTGTTCCAAAGAATCATCAGCGGCAATTTTTAGAGAAATACGTGATTTTAACAATTTTAATCGTTCAATAAAGTCTAAAATGGATTCTCTTTAGATCGGGTCAAAAATTTAGCTGTTGAGCAAGTACTTGTCGGTTAATTCGGTCACCAAATCTTTGTCTTAACGCGTCCTTTATTTTGGGCCAGGTCGTTAAATCTGGTCTACAAAGTAAAAAAGTCGCCTGCTTCCTCGGTTATTTTACTGCAAATTGACGCAAAAACGAATTCTTTAAGAGATTCATCAGCAGTACCTATAAAATATCTATTGTAAAATTTATCTATGCTTGAAATAAAAAACTCTAAATGTTCACTCTTGCCTGTAAAAGTTTTAAGTGTATGAGCAATCTCTTTTGCGGCTGTAAGGGTGGTCATGTTTGAAAGAGAAATATTTAAAAGGCTTTGAGTTATACTTTCAATTTCACTCTCGGACATTAAAATGTAAAAACTAAATTAACTAAATTATTGCACTTTTTTTTAAAAAATTAAATGTAAGCAAATTATCGTTCTATACTAAAACTTAAAAACTTTTAAATTAAAATTATATTATGAAATAATGTAAATTATACACACAATTATATGGGAGTGGAATGGAAAACTCACTTACGATAGATTAATTTCTTCTTAGCTGTGGTCTTCCTGCCTTAGATTCTGTGCCTCAACAAACAGTTAAAACTGACAATTTTCTGGACTTCGGCAACGTCTTTTTGTGGGACTGCTTGCAAAACCAGGAATCTCTGAGACACCTACACGATTGACTGCGCCAGTTATGTATTTTATTGTAACTAACTTGTTTTTAAAAATTTATTTTATTCAAGAAAATTACAATTTAATAATTTGACAATATAAAGTAACTGCGTACTGTACGAAAGTTAATCATAAAGTGAATAGGTATATCTAATATTCAATAACATGAAATGTAATGTCAGCAAATTAATTGTTTGCAATATATAATAGTAAAATAATAACTAGGTCGGTTCATGAACTATGATTGGGACGGACTGCGTCACGTATCTCGTGTTTTCTATTTAACCCAGCATATCTCATTTTTAGACTTTTTGTGGGCTAAATATGAGACACTCTTTTCTGCGCGCTGACTTTTTTAGGGGTACTTCCAAAAGTACCCAAAAGTAAAAATATACCAATATATTTTTACTTTTGCAATAGTTCCCTTACCACCAAATGCCTTTTATAGAAGAAATACTTTTGTATTTAAATGGTTGTAACTAAGAAAAACAAACAAGTTTCTGGGGGGACTGGAAAAAAAGGACTGTCTTATTTTTGCACTACTTTACTCTATTGAAATATATTATGTATATTGCTAAAATTATTAAAAAATATTTACGCTCCTACTAAACGAACTGCTGTTTTTTAGGGTAATCAAGAACGACAGCAGCACCTTCTAGAAGGTAAATATTTTTCTTGCAGATGTAGAAGATGTCGAGATCCGACAGAACTGGGAACCGAAATTAGTTCGATAGTATGCCATAAATGTAGAAAAGGATTGTTGCGAATGAAGGAAATAGAAAAAGATTTTCGAATATGGCAATGCAACGAATGCCAGGTGGTGTTTAAATCGTTTTTGATTGAATTAGCTATAAATGAAGCAAGACGAAGAATATCAGATATAGGTAATGATGCATCTTATTATTTTCTACACACGCACCGGCACGAAAAACTGGCAACTACATTTTTTTATGTATTTTAAAGTTTAATATATTTAGTTCTAGTGGGCCGATTTTCATGATTTTTAAGCAATATGCAGCTGAATTATGTGATTTTTCAGTACTTCTTTCTATATTGAAAATGAAAGTTCCTATCTGTCAATTATACGAGGGAAAACAAAATGTTAATATTTTGGTGAAAATTTGAAGCAAGGAATTTAAAAATAACTTTCTCATCGAGGTACATCCTTTCTCGATACTTTGATTTTCGGTTCATCTCGTTTAATTATAATTTCAATAGCTTTAATTTTGTTAGAAATATTCCCTTTGAAGAAGACACAAACATTATTTCGTAAAAGAAAGAAATAGTAAGGGAAATGTATAAAAAAGAATAAAAACATTTTTCGTAATTTTTACATTAAAACCATGTCTTTGCTTTTGGTCCTAGTCAACAGACCTAGTAAGTTGTGGTCCTGAAGGAGATCGTCTTGACTTAAGATTTGCTTTGTTTAATCTTCTTACAGTCCGTTCATTTACATGTATATGTTCCTTAGGTGCAATTCATTAGAAATTTGAAAAGCTAGCAAACGGCGGTTTCTTAGGGATAAATTTACATAAAGTCGATCGTCTCGATTCGAAGTTCTTATATGAAGGTTTCTGGACGTCTAGCATATGAACTTGTCTTGAAGAAGCGACTGCACTGTACTTCGTGCACACACAAATCTGTTCGAGACATAATTTTTATCTCTATCATCTTCAATTAAAGCAACTATAGCGAATACAACTTCTGGACTTAAAACCATCTCTGCTAGAGAAACTGTCCAGCAGCTAACAGAAAATAATAATATGATTTTTCAATAAAAGTGACATTCCATAAATAATAAACACTATTTTACTGCAAAGGTATATTTTTAATGTAAATACTACGAAAAAAAGTTAGTTTCTTCTTCAAAAGCGAATATCTCCAAGAAACATAAAGCTATTGAGATCAATCAAAAAGTAGACTAGCGAGGAAAGATGCACCTACATGATAAAATTATTTTTAAATTTCTTGCTTTTTTAACATATTCCGCAGTGTGTACCAAATTTCCAAAGGATGTTCCAAACATAAAAATAACAACATTTTTGTCCCCTCGTATAATTGACACATGGAAACTTTCATTTTTAATTTAGAAACAGATACCAAAAAGTCAAATAATTTAGCTACACATTTCTCAAAAGATTATTAAAATCGGCACACTAGAATACAATATATAAAACATTAAAATACGACATCAAGATTTTAAGGTGCCCGTTTTTCGTGCCTCTGAGTGTATTTTGCCTTTTAAATTATTTTTGTTATATCCAATAAGAGTCTTTTTTAACTTTTTTTAGATCTATCTGATCTTCACGAGATGGAAAACTTGCATAATAATCTTGTAATGACGTTTCATCCTAATCACTATTTGATGTTGGAACTAAAACAGCATATGGTGGCGTTATATGCAAAACTGCCACCCACCAAAAACAATTTAACCAAAAAGATAGACTTGTGTGGACGACTTTTATCTGTTTATACGAAATTGGAACCTGGCATATCAAGAATACGAGGTAATTATTTTAATACATATTTTTAATACATATTTTCTCGAAAAAAAATTGATTTGGTTCATAAAAATTTACATAGAGCTTAAATTTGTTCTTTTAAAGATATATATTTTTTTTAAATGGCGTTGTATAAAGTTTAATTCCAGTTCCAGTGTAGCGAACTTTTGAATTTATTTTGATAGTCATAACAATCACATTAAAAAGTCTTGTGCAATATGAACTGATTTGATATTTTTGTTGATTTTTATTATTTATGAGTCATCAATATAAATCATTTGTTATTAAATGAAAATCAGTAGACTACGGTTTACTGATGTTCTTAAAATAAAAAAAATAGTTATTTATGTAACTCGTGCAAAAAGGACATATTTGATGCACGACGCCTGAGTTTTGCAGCTCGAGACGAAGTCGACAGCTGCAATCATGAGTGCACACAATGTCAGTTCACACAAATCATGAGTGCAACAAATATGCTTTTTGCACATGTTGCACACAACATTTTTCTACGATCGAATTGAAATTCTTATTTAAATGTTTATTAAAAAGTTTTTACAGTAATTCACAGAATAATATTACCACTAACAATGACACTTCTATGTTTTTTAATAACTATTTTTTTAATTAATTTCTAAGGTAATTAACGGACAAACTTCATTTCCAGTAGTCTTTTAAATTTTATTTTCATTTCTGCTCGTGGAGGTCTCGGGTTCTTGTTCTTTACTTAAAACTCTTTTCTGGAATGTTGCTGCGAGGTGTCCGATACTGGTACTTGGTTTATCTTCCTGGATTTGACAAATTTTTACAAATTTTTCATTTTAGTTAAAGTTGCCATTAATAATGTCAAAGTGTTTTTATACTAGTGCAGAAAATAAGCTACGTTTTGCACCAGTGTAATAGTTAAAAGTCAAATTGACTTTTAATACAGTAGATAGTGTAAAAAATAGCTACTTTTTGCACGATCGTAGAAAAAATATATTATTTTTATTTACCCTTTTGAAGTAACTTCTTCGCGAAAGATTTTAGGGCACATATGTGTATATAAATATGTATACTTTTTTGAGAATCAAATGCATTCAAATGCACGTGATTAATAAATAATCAAGAAGTAAGTAAAATGGTTGTAAATAATAACAAAAACAAATGAGAACTAAAAAAATATTGTTTTTTTCAGTTATGATTATGTTTTCTGATATTATTATTATTATTATTATTTTATGTTATTAAGTGATGATTTATTTTTTAGTACTATCTATACAGTATGTCTCCGGATTTTTTTACTTGGGAAAAAAACTTTTTTATTATTAACATTTGGAGAAAAATGCACTTTTCATAAACATTTTTGCTTATTTTAAAATTGTGAATCCCGTTTATATTTTTCCAAATTTTCATACCGTAGTAGATAGTAATACACCTAATTTCCATTTCATATTTTGTTAGATGGTTATTATTAATTTTAATTACCGTTATATTTTTTGCTGTTATTAAGTATTACATTTTCCGATAAGTATTATCACCCTTTCCGTAGCATTGAACTTAATTATAAGAACTTTTTGTTTTATTTTTACCTGTAGATTTACTCAACGAAGTTAAATAAACTACTTTTATTGACACCCTGTATATTAATTGAATATCGCAAATAGGCTAATTATTATTATACCATTTTAAATCTAATCTCCACAATGTAATATGCAATTTCCTCTATTTTCAGCTTTAACTATGTACGAGCTCCAGTCGGCCATCATCGACTTATCCAACAAAGAGTACCGAGACAAAGAATTATCCGAGAGTGGCTTATTGTCGGAACTTCAAAGAGCGGAAAAAATACTGAAGGAATGCGCTAAATACTTACTGTACGAACCGAGCAAAAGTCCCGAAGGTCGAATGGCTTTGGTGGCCTTAAAAGAGCTGAAGTACTTGAGAGAATCTATTGAGAATATACAAAAGGACGTGTTAATAAATGGCCAGAACGAACGGAAAGATAAAAAGTTGAAAATGACCAAAGCACACGAAGAAAATTCACTAAATCATAAGGAGAAAAATGGAAGGATTGATGATATTGAGAATACTAGTCAAAAGATTGTGAATAGTCATGTGGAATATCTTGAGAAAAACAAGAACAAACCGAAGAAAAAGAATAAAAAAGCAGAAAAAATTTAGAATATATCATCATGTAGATAATTTTAGGAAATATTAGGTTTTAATAAAAAAGTTTTTGATAAAAATAGTTGAAATATAAGAGAAATAAAAAAATGATATATGTATCTGTTATTATTTATTTAGCGTATCATTAATTTCGACACATTAAAATATAATATACCGTGTAGTGCATCGGAACACGGGACCAAAGACAGGACATAGGAAGTCCCATGTAAATTTTAGAGAGGTTAAGTATTATCTCCCCAGATAATTTTATGCAAAAGTTTTATGATCCTTTTTTGAAGAGGCGTTAAAGTTGTACTTTTGTCTAGAATTTCGTTTCATTTGGAACAGTCATTTAAAAGTTATTTGCAAAAATCTCCCTGCAAATGCCAAATACTAATATTTTTAAATACGGAATTTAAAAGAATCCGGTCCTTCTTACATATCGATAATCAATCCTAATTTATGTCTTATACTAACATACCAAATCTCGTTGTTTTATCTGAAAAAATTAAAAAGTTATATGGGTGAGCCAATAGAAAGAACGTCAAAAACGTAGAAATAGAAATAAACGTCAAAATCGCTATTTTTGTTGCTACTTTTCTTGCAATTTCTTCATATTTTCTCACCGCTTAAATCTTTCTTGGACTTTTACAAATATTTCAAGACCATGTTTTTTAGCAGGACTAACAAACGGCATTACATTTTTTATAGATAGATATGCAGGGTCAAAGTACGTTACAAAACAAAATTTGCTAACATACAAGGAAATATTATACACATCTGATAAAAAAAAATCTACGGAAATTATTGTAATGTAAGTAAATTCCTATATCATCAGTAAATAACACCTTCCGGTATGTAAGTAAGCTTTTACTTACGCCACATACAATTATTTTAAACCTTAATGGGGTACACTCAATAGTTAATTTACCTTATCACATTAAGTTTAATACAGGGTGGTCCAAATCGTATACGGGAAACTTCGGTAGCATATTCTGCAGATAAAAAAATATTCTCATAAATATATGTCCTAAAATGCTTCGTTTCAGACACAGGGTGTGAAAATGTAATTTTTGAACCGTCTACCCAAGTGGCATCTATCTGACTTCGAACTAAATCTGACCTGAAGCGACGTCAGACTTTGTGCAAATTTAGGTCGGCGTGATACGACCGGTGACGTCGCTTTCCTATTAAAAGCGACGTCGTTGGATCCGAGTCGGTAAATCCAACGATCTGTCGACGTACAAAATAACAACGTACCATTGTTATTAATTTCCCAACGTCGTTCCCACGTTGGCTTGCAAGACGTACATATACTTGAACTAGCCCGACGTCTACCCGTTGTCCGAATAGGATACGTCTCACTGACAATCCCTAAAGTAACGTCCAATTATATTTTGTTGTATTTTATGTTCATATTTATAACCTAATTTACGTATCTCTATTTACGTCCGTAAAACCAACCTTTTAAGTACCATTTGCGCCCTAATGAACATCATGAACATAACCTAGAAAGAAGAAAGAAAGAAAGAAATTGCTTTATTGTCATAAAAAAATTTTACAATTTTGTTGACAAAGCTTAAAAAAAAGAATATAAAAAACATACAAAACTTCACTTAACAATAGAAAAACATATAAAACTAACAGCAAACATACAAAACTAAAACAATACTTTATACAATTATAGAAATTGTACAAAGTATTGTAAACTAAAAATAAAAAGTTTTTGTAAACAAACTTAATTTTTTTATTATGCCTAAAAAATACTAAAAATGCATTTAGACATTCATCTACATTTTACAGAAAGAGGTCGAGGCTTTTGCAAAATAATAATAGTAGTAGTGATGTCTTGCCTCCACCCATAAATGCTTTTTATCCGGAAGAGATGCTGCATTACACTGGTGCATCTTAGTTTCATTTTTTAGCTTAGGAAATCAGCAGACCCCATCCTCCTCCCACATGTGAGGTTAGGCTTAAAAAAGTGGCTGCCCATTTTTTTAAGGAGAAAACAAAAACTAAAATATAGTTGCACAAATCCACAAATCACTGATACGCAAAGTGAGGTTACGTGGCGTACGTTGGAATTATATACGTCATAATACGATTGCCTGTCGTCCGGTTTGATGGAGGACTTCGGTCGTGTGAGACGACTAATGTTGGAGACCCGGTCGGAATTGGTATATTGGTAGTTCATATTAAGTCGGACACAGAAATCCGCCATTCTTAACAAATATCCGATTGTCAACCATTTTAAAATCGTTTTTTGTTTTTAAAATTTATATTCACATTTCGATTTCTAGTAGAATAATATTAATAAGGTTGTGTTTTTGGGGAACCACGGTACAGTTTTATGATTAAACCAGCTAGAAAATTAAAAAAATATTTTGCGATTTATTTTTTAATAGCTATTTTTATTTCATAACTCTACCTAATTTTGAACGCGCTCGTTGTTTTCCGGAGTATTTTAATCAGATATATCAAAAAAGTGACTTCCGTTGACAAAACTGATGTCTGGATTAATGATTCAGAATTATTATAATATGAAATTAGATAGGCACTTATAGTTATATTCGAGGCGTGATTATGAATCCATTTATAATTAGGTAGTTTGGTTTGGTTTTTATGTATTCTTGGTAGCGAATATGAAACCAAACGTAATGTAAGTGCTTAGCGACGTAAAGCGACTTTAGCGACTAAAATCCAACGTAATATGACGTTGGTAATTGGTAGAATTACATTCCCTATTAGGTCAGATACCGACGTCGAGGCGACCCGAATCTGTATTCCCCATTTAGGTGCAAATAAGGGTCGTCAGGTGGTCGAACCGACGTTTGTACCCAACGTCGGGTTTATTGAACGCGACGTATACCCGACGTTAGAAAACGTCCAAATGCTACTTGGGTATATTTAGTTAAAAATTGGTGTCTGAGTGTTTTTTGACATAGGGGGGGGGGGGGTTCGATGTCAATATGACTCCTACTTGTAGGGAGCGCCACCTATATACTTCTTAGAGGGTTTAAAGAGTAATAACTTTTTGTCTGTACCAGTATGAAACTACTGAGTGAAAAAATATACATTTTCTCAGATTTCACGTAAAAAATGTCTCTTGGTAAAACTCGCTACGATTAATCGTTCTCAAGATATTTAGAATGTAAATTATCAATATATCATATGTCATTATTGATAAAGTATGTTGACTAGATAGTTATTTGACTGAAATGATAAATATGGAGACTTTTTATTTTTTTAAACTAATCATAATTTTTTCAAAATTTATGATGAAAAAATTTCGGTTGAACCATTGGCACAAATACATTTCAAATTTATGATTTTAGTCTGATAACTATCTAGTCAACGTGTTGAATTTTTGTTAATGTATTAGTCAATTTATTATTTCGATTTCAAATATCTCGAGAACTATTGCCCGTAGCTATTGTTATCAAGAAACCTTTCTTACTTAAAAGGGGGAAATTTATATTTTTCCACTCATTAGTTTTATACAGATATAGACGAAAAGTTATTAGTCTTCAAACACCTTAAAACCTACAGGGTGTTCCTTAATGACATGCTAATATTGAATGGGGTGATTCTTGGATCTATTCTAAGAGAAAAACTTCATATTACGTCCTAAACATGTTAATTACTGAAATTAAAAAAAAAAAAATTCAAAAAAACTCTGATTTTATTATAGATATCTTTATGAAACTCTTGATACACTTCTTCTATGCATCAAAATACCTTTTTTGATGTACAAAGAATATTATTTATTTCAAGCAGTACCGTCCATATCTACGGGTTTTATATTGAATATTTTTGGAGAAAAAAATAGTATACCACTGAGTTCTCTTAAAATAAAAATTATTTTCAAAATCTCCATTCATTTTTAATTTGTTCTTCTTAACATTTTTTATTGCTTCTTTCTTATTTATAGATTTTTTTCGTCGACGCATAGTTTTTGTTTATAATAAATAATAAGTTAATTTACTTCAGGGTCAAATCGCTGCAAATCTGATGCGGGTGCGGTGACTGTTGTATGGAAATCATTTCAGCATTAGCTAGAAAAAAATTAAGAAACAAAACAATTTTTTTTGTATATCAAAATAAGCATTTTGATTTCATGAAAGACGTATATCAAATATAACATCAGAGATATTTTGAAAAAAAACAGAAAAATTTAACACCCTGTATTTAAAAAGTTAAGATGTTTAGGACATATACTCATATGAAGTTTTCTTCTTAGAATAGGTCCAAGAATCACCTCCTTAAAGATTAACATATCATTAAGGAACACCCTGTATATAGGTAGAGCCCCCTACAAGTAGGAGTCATATATTGGCACATCGAAATAAAATTTCTCATGTCAAAAAACTCCCAGTTATACCAATTTTTATCCAAATATCGACGGTAGTTCAGAAATTATTTGGAAAAAATCAAAATAAAAATGAAACTTCTACACCCTGTATTTCCGAATCGAAGCATTTTAGGACATACCTTTATACGAACATTTTTACTTATTTTTATCTGCAGAATATGCTGCCGAAGTTTCCCAAATACAATTCGGCCCACCCTGTATATTGGGCTTATTAAAATTCGATAAAAATAATACTATGTAATAACACTATAATAATTAACAAAAAAACAAAACTTACGTTAACCCACAACTACCATTAATTCAACAGAATATTATAATTTATTATCGAAAACCGTTAGAAATGTACCTAAGTGTTACAGAAATTAGAATATAACAGATTAAATGGGATAGGTCGTTTGTCCAAAGGCATTTGTATAACAACCGTCTCAAAGGCGATGTTATCGCTAAGGCGATTAAAAATCTTACTTGAAAAACAGTAAAGTGGTACCAGGTTATCGCGATCTAAGGCACAAGCTAAATAGAGGAGTGCTCAGCTGAATACATTTGACGGATATTTTGGAAAGAAACAATTGCTTACAGGATGGTGCAAAAAATTATGATTTTCGCCACTTCTGAAAAAGTTACAATGGTTAAACGGCATTTTGCTGGAAATAGTATTTCCGCTGTGTTAGATATGTTCGTAGCTCAGTCTCCGGAAATCATATACAACGAATATACCTAATAACGCGTAATAACGAATAAGTCAACAGTTTAGAGAATAAACCAGAGGTTTGAAACTAAAGGCACAGTATTAAGCACATGGAAGTGTGAAGACAAAAATAATTGAACAGGGAGAAAACAACAATGACTTAAATTTTGCATGTTGAAGCAAAGAAAAGCACTGATCCTGTCTATTGGGGATACAGTAGGAAAAGACCACAGAATCTTTCGCCGAACGATTTCTTCCTGTGGAGCACACTCAAAACCGTCTTTATAGGCATATTAAATAGAAATTTAGATGAATTGAAAAATACATCGTTGTGGAATGCTAAAGATTCTCCCCGTAACAGCTTTGTATTGCCAGGCGTGAATTTTACAATCATTTGTGGTATTTTTTGGCTGTGCATGCAGAATTATGTAAATATTTTATTAGTTAGTATAGTTTAATAAAGTTCGTTACAAATATTTCTTTTATTTGTTTAATTATAGTGGATGAATGTGGTATGAGCGAGACCTGCGACCGATCGAGTAATGAACAGCAAACAAGTCAAACTCCGCGAATACTTTTTTTCTCAGTTGCAATAGTTCTTTGGTAGATGATCATTCCAATTCAGAAAAAAATTAACCACCCTTTCTAAACCACATAAATTTTTGTAACCAAAAAAAATGTGACATGAAATTTGACAATGGTATTTTAATTGTACTTTCTTTGAAATGGAATTTTACGAAATGTTTACCAAACATAACAACTCCATATTTTGTCCCTTGTAAAAAACGTCATATCGTATAGGTTTTGAGAAAGGTTTAGGTATATTAATTATCGTTAATGTATGATAGGATAACTTATATGGGACAACTAATGTGTTAGTTACTAGTGTCAGCTACACTATTTATAACTCAAGAACGACTGGACTGATTTTAATAATCTCTGTTTAGTTGGATTCGTCTCCTCCCCGAATAGCAAATATCAAAAAAAATTCACGGAATAAAATTCCATAGAGAAAAGGGCCATATTATGTAGTCTGTTCAATGAATCAGGGAATATTTCAACTGACCGTCCAAAAATGACAGAAACTACAATTTACCTCAAAGGTAAAACGACAGACGCAACTGTCATTGTCACGGATAGTCTCGTTGGATAAACTATATCTACGATTATTTACTCTGTTTTTTTTCTCAGGTAAGATTTCGACAGACGATGACAGAAAAAAAGCAAATGACTTTCATACCAATCCATTTATATCACTAAAAAATGTTTCTAATATTTTTTAAGTTAACTATGGATGGGCTTATAAAAGGTTTATAAGTAAATACGTCATGCGTCGTCTCTTGTTGTTTTTAACCAGTTTTATTGGTTTATTTCTAAAACGACAGATCATGTTTCAATATTAGTGGTTTGACGCAACGATAACGACAAACGGACTCCGATGCGTATGAACCCGACTCAAGATTTTTGAGAGTTGTTAAACTCTTGCCAAATTATAAGTTATAATATAGTAGATTATTTTCTTTTGTCTATGGTTATAATTTTGTGTCAAATTATGTCAAATAGAAATGATAAATATTTTGCATTTTGGACTGTGTTGTTACTTGTGTTTCGTGTTTTTTTTTTAAATTAAGTGGAGGAAAACTCGAGGAAAAATTAAGTGTTGACCCAGACCATAGTTTACAGTTAATATTCGGTGCCCAGAGACCGCCAGAAACACAGTTTGCCAGACACTATGGCCAGAGAGTTGTAGCCACAAATAAAGTTGTATACCATCTCGTATATGGTACCAAAAACTGGAGTATCTATAAAATAACATCACATGATACATATATAATTCATTTTAGTACTAGCAGAAAAAAATAAGATTAAAGTTAATTAACCAAGATTAGATTTTTTCAGTTTTATACAGGTTTTTTTCACAATATTTTGAAGTAATCACTTATCACTCAAAATTTAAATATATTAATCATGTGTTCCAATTGTACCAACTTATTTCTTTGTAAAATAAAATAAACTACGTTAAAATTAAAATGACAGACCCATCTATCACTGTCAAGGAATTTGTCGGTGGACAGACTATATAGCGAAACCAAACTGTGTAGTTTTTGCTACTCTGAGTTATAAATAATTCCACTAATGGGCTAATGGTAAAATTTCTCGACTTATTAATACAGCTTAGATCACCACCGATTTCTTCGGAATAATAATAGAAAGTGACCCGACCGCTTCCTAAGGTCAAAGAAAGACAGACAGTCGGTAAAAAATCGTCTTAAATAAGTCAAATCCCTCCATTTGGATTTAACTCACGGTCACTCCGAGAAGACATAATCATGGTCACCACCAGGGTTGGGTGCGAAGTGAATTCAGTGAATTAAAGAATATGTATACCATGTTTGTTTACGATGAGTTATGAGTTGCATTTATTTGCTGTATCAGTTTACTACGTATCATCGTAAATAACTTGTCTCCCGCAGAGAATTTCATAATAATACTTTCCATTGCTAATGCTAATATGGGAAATATGTTATTCTGAAGGAAAATAAAGAATGGAATAAGAAGTAATAGAATACAATAAACAATAAAATTGCGCATTGGACAAGTGAATTTTGCATTTTAAAGAAATTACTATATTATAATATAGGGTGGTCCGAATAATATAGGGTATTCCGGAAGCTTCGGTGAAACATATTGTCAGATAAAAATAAGTTAAAAAGTTCGTGTAAATATATGTCCTAAAATGCTTAGTTTCGGAAATACACGGTGTAGAAGTTTCATTTTCATTTAGATTTTTTCCAAATAATTTCTGAAGTAACGTCAATATTTGGATAAAAATTGGTGTCTGGGAGTGTTTTGACATGAGAAATTTCACTTTGATGTCAATATGACTCCTATTTGTAGAGGGCGCCACCTACTGTGTTTTAATCTTTGAATAAGAAGACTAAGGAAGGATCATATCAAAAATCTTAGGTCCACCGCGATGGGACTCAAATATGGCCGACTTAAATTCCGGTTTATCAGTGCCGTTCTAATTTTATTTAAAAAATGTAAAACTGTGATGTAGGGTAGACGTGGGGTAGACTCAATATTATTTTTTTATTTTACGTTGTGAATAAATGTTGGTAGTTATTAAAATTGTTATAAAAACATATTATTATAATAAAAATAGATAAGTTTTAATAATTATTTATTAACACAAATATCCGATACGCTACTGAAGCAGGTAAGTCAAATTGACGTATCTAAATTCTTTGACATCTAATCTTTGACAAGTAGTAAATAAAAGCAAAAATGCAAGGAAAAATATATAATTAGTTAATTTAAGTGAATTTCATAAATGATCGGTTTACTACACGTATGTATATTATATAGTCACTTACTAGCGAAAAGTTGTTCCATTATTTCACTCGATTTTTGCCGAGATAGAGTCTTTTTAGATAAACCGCTATAGTGTCACTGTTAATTTAAGTTCTGCCACAATTTCCAACTAGATTTACTACCTTTATACAACTATCAGTAGTAGAATAAATAATAAATAACATAAAATAACCTCCGTAAAGACTGACCAATCCACAAAATTTCAAATCAAATTCAAATGTGTCAAATGAATCGTCAAACAGAACTGTTAAGGATCTCCACCTTAGAGTATAGCATTATGCTCCTTCCTTAGTCTTCTTATTCAAAGGTTTTAACTCTTTTGAAGAGTAATAACTTTTCGTCTATACCTGTATAAAACTCGGAAGCAAAAAAAATACAAAGAATAAAGAAAAAAACTATTTAAAATATTTAAATTCAACTAATCGCGAACACTTTAGTTTTTTTTAAAACAGATACGTCTACAGAAACCGTTGACGTTCTGTTAAAATGACATTATATCAAGTTAAACTTCAAAATTAACAATTACTATCTGATAACAATTACTTAATAAGGTAAAACCAAGGAGCCCCAAACGTTCAGTATGATTATTTTTAATTCTTACGTATGTTGTTTTTATGTTATGTTCTTTAAAATCAAAGAAGCGATTGCCATACATTACTAACATCTACAGATGCAGATGATGAGCAAAACATTTATTTTAATTAGATTGTATTAAAAAAGCCTTTTTTCTTTTTCTTTTAAAGGCTATCGCTTCTTTCATTATAAATTTGGCGTTATTAAAATTTATTCTGTGCCCTGTGTCCCATGAATGCTGACAAATCTTAGATTTGTGAAAATCTCCTTTTCTTAAATATAATCTTTATGTTCTTTAATTCTAACATTTAAGGATCTAGATGTTTCACCAATGTAAAATTTATCGCATTCACAGGGTATTTGGTATATTACATTTTTTGTTTGTTCTGTATTCATTAGTTTAGTATGTGATAAAATGGATCTAAGTGTATTTTGTGTTTTGAAAGATGTTGGTATGTTATATTGTTTTCCTATCCTAATTTTTTTCCGAAACGCCTCGTATATATGGGATTGTAAGTTGTATATATTTTGTATTGTCATCATTGTGTCTATGATTTGCGGTTTGTATTTCGTTTAATGTTTTGTCAATAAAATATGGTAGATACTCGTTTTTTATTAATGTATTTTTTATGTGGTTTATACCGCTGTTTAGTGAAATGTCGTCTGAACTGAAGAAACTTGATGTGTATTTTATAAAAGTAATTTTTAAACAGTGTTTGTATTAATTTACTACTCTTCTAACTATACGTAACAAAATGCGTAATGTGACATTTACCCATCCATGATACCCGCGGTCACTTTTCGAAGATATCATGGTCACCGGCGATGGTCAACCCTCGACAACTCGCGAACGCGCCCGACGAAACGCGACCGACCTACGGGCTCGAAATTCAAAGTGGATTCGCTAGAAACGCGCCAATTTTGTGCGCGATTTTCCCAAAGAGCGCTCACGTGCGCGTTAAGTTTTCCGACAGTTTTTCTTCATCGAGTGTTTTCCTTGGGATTAACTGGTATTAATTCCCTCCCGTATTTTTTTCTACGTGATCAGCGTTAATTTTTTTTTCTGTGGAATCTAGTTAAACCGACATTATAAGGTAAGTCGAGAGAGTGGGAGATTATTTTTAGAAGCGATGATCTAATATTTCGGTAACCTTTAAGAGATGAACAAATTAACGCGTTTTTATTAATAGAAGACGTCACAATTGGCGCTTGTTTGTTTTAATTTTGCTCAGCGCTCCGCAAAAATTATTTGATCGCTTTGATGCTGGTATTTTACGAAAAAATATACGATTAGCGTGGAAAATATTACTCTGGATTTTGTTTTTACGAGTTGGGATTTTTAACAGGTTTATTTTAAAATCTATTTTCAATGAAAAATATTTTTTAACGCGTGGGTGTAAATAAGGAGCGTAAACAAAAATTATATTTTTAAATAATACCTTTGTATATGAGACTATACAAGGGTGAGTTTCCTACGATGTTTTCTATGAGCATCTCGGAAAGTACTGGAGATAGAGAGTCGGTTAAATGGGGAAAGAATTGCAGTTTTGTGGGGTCATAAATATGCGCCTTTTAGATTTTTGAAAAAGTTCATGGCTTACTAGATATTTCGAAAAAAACAAATTTTGGCTATTTTAAAAATTATTCCTAATTCCATTATAATCTATTTTAGACAAAAAATGTTCAGATAAAAGTTGTAGATAATCACATTTCTAATGAGATTGTGTTTTCCGATTTTTTCTAAAGCCCGTCATTTTTGATATATGACACAAACATATGTTCTTTTAAACGGAAACCATAGTTGTCGATGACTTCATAAAAAGCACCATTTTTTAAGCTTTTCAGCGATATAAGCTATAATATTTTTCTTTTACAAAATTACTGAGTTATAGCCAATTCTTATCTTTCTTGACTAATTTCACTTAGTTAGCCATGGAAACAAGTTCAATCGTTGTTGCTCTCAGAAATGTTGAATTGTCACATCCAATCCAAGTAAATTAAAATAAACAAAAATTGTAAATATTTTTTTTTAAATGAAGAAAAGCGTGTAGGATTATTGGTTCAACTTTTCTTGACCATACAAGATACGTTGACCAGTAAAAGTTACTTTTACTGGTCTTTTTTTATATCCAATGGTGTTCTAATTTTGTTATGACTTATAACTTATAAAAAGACAAAATGTATTATTAAACGGCTCTTTACAATTTACATTACACAAACTAAAACTTAAAAAAATAATCAATACATACACTTTAAGTTATTTTAGAAAATGTTCAAAAAATCCGCAATTGTTTTGAGTACATAAATGCATCTTTTTAAAACTGAATTGCTAGATATTGTCACAGAACGACCGGTCGACTTAATTAAACTTCTCCTGTTCCGCCTCTTCGAGTGCCTCTCATAAGTTCATAAGTTCTTTTGTAAACCTTGTTGTTAACCATACCGCATAAAAAAATCTAAAATGGATAGGTCAGGTGACCGAGAAGACCCATGCAATTGGTCCACCTCTTTCTATCCCTGAGTCTACATAATTATGATAATGAAATAATTTTTAACATTTCTTATATTGTTGGGGGGGGGGGTTGGTGTCATAATGAAAATCATGTTGGAACCACTCTATTAATGCGCGAGTATCTAAATTTAACTTTTCTAACATGTCTTGAAAACCGTTCTCTAAAAAACATAAGTAACGTTCACCGGTCAACGTATTCTCGAAACTGTATGGCCAAGAAAAGTTGAACCAATAATCCTACACGCTTTTATTCATTTGAAAAACTCATATTTACAATTTTTGTTTATTTTAATTTACAAAGATTGGATGTAACAATTTTACATTTCTGAGAGCAACGACGATTGAACTTGTTTCCATGGCTAACTAAGTGAAATTAGTCAAGAAAGATAAGAATTGGCTATAACTCAGTAATTTTGTGAAAGAAACATATTATAGCTTATATCGCTCAAAAGCTTAAAAAATGGTGCTATTTATGAAGTCATGGCCAACTATGGTTTCCATTTAAAAAAACATATGTTTGTGTCATATGTCAAAAATGACAGGCTTTAGAAAAAATCGGAGAGCACAGTCTCATTAGAGATATGATTATCTACAACTTTTATCTGAAAACTTTTTGTCTAAAATAGATTATAATGGAATTAGCGAGGGGTGTCTCACTCGGGTAAAAAATGTACACGTACTGCCAAAATATCTTTCCACTGCTAAGCGACTGCCAATGACTATGAAGAAGACTGCCTATGACTGCCATGTAATTATTATAGGCGACTGCCATAAGACTGCCAATGACTGCCAGCGACTGCCAAGAAAATGTACAGGTAATTCCAATAGTGAGACACCCCTCGGGAATTAGGGACAATTTTTAAAATAACCAAAATTTATTTTTTTCGAAATATCTAGTAACCATGAACTTTTTCGAAAATCTGAAAAGCGCATATTTATGACCCCACAAAACTGCAATTCTTTCCCCATTTAACTGACTCTCTATCTCCAGTAGTTTCCGAGGTACCCATAGAAACATCCTAGGAAACTCACCCTGTATAAACAAGGATAATATCTATACATATAATTTACACTAGAATTAAGACGCGTTTATATTTTGAGTGTATTTATCATTAGTTTCGTTCTTTGAAAAACATATACAGGGTGAGTTTTAAATAAGTGCAAATGTTTTTAGGGGTGGTATATTTCGACCCCAGGAACACGGATATGAGTTTTTTGCGAAAATTTGGAATTTTTTGAAATTGGACTTTTTTTTAGTTAAAAAAACATACTTTTTTGATAATATGGTTCCAATATGTTAAAGTGGTTCGCAAAACTTAAGCAACATTTTTTTTTTCAAATTTTCAAAGTAAAATAACTCGGTTATTTTGGACTTATTTGCAAAACGGTAAAGAGAAAATATGCTTCTTTTCTCGAGATCTACCAGCCCTGAAAATATTTGCACTTATTTAAGACTCAGCCTGTATAGTCAGTGTAAAACGTTTAGTGCTTTGATAGATGTCTGCGCAAAAAAACTAAAGTGTTCTCGAATTAGTTATATTTTGTCATTCTGAATAGATTCTGTTATTTGATGCTTCTGACCACGGAGGAAAATATACCGCCTAAAACTTTAAGCATATTTTGTGGATCAGCCTAATAGACCGAGAGCTGGCTACATAAAAAACCTTATCATCGTTACATGGCTAATTTTTTGTGTGGAGTATCCTTTTGTGTAGCCATCGTGAAATAGTCATGTCTGCCAGCGCGATCCCGGTGCTTAAAGCGGGGGCGGCCAATCGAAAGGGTGAAATGTTGACACTAAAAATATTATAAGGTACACGAGTTATAATTGCCAAATAGCTTTTATTTATTATTAGGCAACGTGTAAAATTGTTGACAGACATTTTTCTCATGGCTGAAATGCCGGCAGACAACGCGAAAGAGGCATAGAATTTTGACAAAAGAAAATCATCGCATATATGCATGTCGATTAGTGGAATGTCATGTTTATTGTTAATTAATTTAAAAAGCTCTATGCAAAAGGGTAGACAAAAAAATCGTTATTGAAATAATAAAAAAATATATTTATAATATAATCGTATAATATATGATTTATCAATACTTAAATGGATGAGGCGGCCAGCGTTCCCTGAATAAAGAGCTAGAATAATATCGTGCTTTTGATAACTGTCTGCAGCTGACTGAGCCACGATCTTTTTGTCTGCCCTTTTGCATACGGCTTTTTAAATTAATTAACATAAATAAATATGACATTCCACCAATCGGCATGCAAATATGCCATAATTTCATTTTTTAATAATTTTTAAAATTTCATGCCTCTTTCGCGTTGTCTGTCGGCATTTTAGCGACTAGAAAAATGTCTGCCAACAATTTTCCACGTTTCTTAATAATAAATAAAAGCTATTTTTGCAATTATAACTCATGCATCTTATAATATTGCATTAACTTTGAAGGGGGTGTGGTACAGCCTCTACAAGATATAAACTTATTGATATACAGGGTGATCCGAACTGTATTCCGGAAACTTCAGAATCATATTCTGCAGATAAGCTAAATAAAAAGTTCGTATAAATATAATGTCCTAAAATGATTAGTTTAGGAGATACAGGGTGTAGAAATTTCATTTTTATTTCGATTTTTTTCAAATAATTTCTGAAATAACGTAAATAACTGTATGAAAATTGATGTCTGTGAGTTTTTGGACATGATTTTGGAAATCTGATTTTGATGTCAATATGACTCCTACATGTAGAGGGCGCCACCTACTTATTTTTTAACTGGTTTGAAGAGTAATAACTTCTAGTTTGTAACATGTATAAAACTACTGAGAAAAAAAATTACATTTACAATCATTGGCGTAACTACGGGGGTGCCCCCCACGTTTTATTGCTGGGCACACCACAGATAAATCTTGAATTATGACTCTTGGTTACGGATTAATTTTTATTTGCTTGTGATGTAGTAAAAATGAGGTTTTCTAGTTTTGTTTACTTAATATTATTTTGTTGTGTTCAAAAAATGTGCATTTTTGGAACAATGATTACTATGAATTTAGAAAGATTTGATTTGTGTTATTAGTCAGTGCCGGCTCGCGAACTTTGAAGGGGGTGTGGTACAGCCTCTACAAGATATAAACTTATTGATATACAGGGTGGTCCGAACTGTATTCCGGAAACTTCAGAAGCATATTCTGCAGATAAGCTAAATAAAAAGTTCGTATAAATGTAATATTCCTAAAATAATTAGTTTAGGAGATACAGGGTGTAGAAATTTCATTTTTATTTCGATTTTTTTCAAATAATTTCTGAAATAACGTAAATAACTGGATGAAAATTGGTGTCTGGGAGTTTTTGGACATGATTTTGGAAATTTGATTTTGATGTCAATATGACTCCTACATGTAGAGGGCGCCACCTACTTATTTTTTAACTGGTTTGAAGAGTAATAACTTAGGGCAACGGCCCAGCTACGTCGAAACACCGGTTCCCATTAGAACACCGAAGTTAAGCGACGTAAGGCGATGCTAGTGGATGGACGGGTGACCGGTTCGAAACTTTGCATCGTGCTGTTGTCCAAAAGGGA